AAAATACAAACAACAAATAAAGAGAGAGAGCAAGCAGAGCGAGTACTTCCAAGGCAATCATTGCTATGTTTTGTTTTACAAAGCAGACAGGGAATTTAACTTTGAAAAGGCTGCCAAAGTTTGCGCCAACGCAATATCCAAAGAGTGGCATGCCGAAGCAGGCGCATATTCCAATACCAACTATGGGGTCGAATAAATAATGCCTGTGCATCTGGCTAGGATGATAGTCCTCCGACAACCAATAGATTCTTCATATCCAAACGACAAACGACCAAGAGCATCAAAGAACCGGCAACTTCAATCAGGAAACCGCCGTCTTGATTTGCATCAGGATCCCGGAACAGGGGGTGGGTAATAAAATTGGCTGATCAAGTTGATTTTATGCATGGAGATTGATGGTCGGGCGATCCGTTAAGTGTTTCTCTTGTGTTTTTTGAGTCGTGCATGCCTGAAAAAAGTATCGTGAGTCCTAACAAACTAGGCTGCTATCCGGTTGATAACAATTGTTCAAAGCGAAACTTAACAACAATTGTTCAAACGCGGAATGCAGTCACAGTAGGTTAGTGTGCTTGTCGTTAGAAAAACTCTCGCTTCATTGGGCCGTAATAAATAAAGATTTTTTTGAAACACACACCATTACATAAATAAAGCACTACTTACCAACAGCTCTCCCCGACAGTGGACACACCACGGACGGTGTAACACGGGGTGCTTGGTAGCTGAGGCGCTTAGAATGGTGCGTCTTCGAAATAGACTGGTCTATCCACGCGCTCGGATTGCGCAATTGCATTAGCTTTGCACCAAGGGGTGTCATTGTTGTTTGGCATTGAGACACGGTAAAGCGTTTTTTCCTGTACTTACTAGCGAGGCTCGGAGCACAGGCGGCTCTTCTCTCTCTCGTACCTTCTTCGGTCCATCTATCCGCTACTAGCTTCCATTACAGGCACAAAACACTAATGACCAAAAGTCTGGCAAGACACATGGCAGTAAACATGATGCAACGGGCGTCATTGAATGTGGAAAAAAAGTGCTGCTCGTCCCTCCACTGATAATTTAAACTAAGACAGCCCAACCAGCACGTATGCACTTGTCAAAACTATACACCCGAATTGTTGTTGCTATGGCCGATACCTTTGGATCTTGAGCTGTTCATCTTCTTCTTGTTCGCTTAGCTGATGAGCGCAGGTAAGAAAGGATCCGGCGGCATGGGTGGCAAACATCTTGTCTAGTTGTCGGCTTGCTCAAGAAACTCTTTCGCCTCAAGCGATGGTTTGTATACCCTATTATACATGTTACCAAAGCTCCTTTTGGCTACGATTAATGAGATGATAGTGGAAGGTTGTACATACTTGTTCTATTGTTAGTCGTTGGCTTTGTTGTTCAAAGTTGGCCTTTGAATAAGCAACGTGCAAACAATCAACGGCTACATGAAAATACCTCTTAGAACGGTTTGCAAATGCAGTTGCTACGATTGTGCCATGGGATTGTTGAATGGGCGGTGGTATACCCAATGTCAATTCGTAACTACCATTCCAGGTTATTTAGATATTAGATCTTGTAATGGGAAAATACCATTTGTTGGCTGGATCTAGATCGGCCAATGGGAAAAACAGATTGCTGAATGGGGATCCTGCCGCGTAATAGTGGTGCAGAGTTCAGATGTCCCCTCTAACACATCGTAGCCATTCTCGTTTAACTGTTCGAGTTAACAGGGCAACATAGCCTCCTCCGTACCTGGTAGTGTTAGCCTCTCGTTACTATCCGGATGTGGAGCGATTTCTTCAAGCCCATCAATCACATCCTTGAGATCCAGAGCCCTGGGATCAAGGATCCTTGGGTTGAGGACCTCTAGCTAGCTGCTAGAGTGACCAATTCCACGGCATTGTCTTTTTCAATACTGGCATCGTCATCAAACGGATCGCTTCGTGAGGTAGATGTGAGGTTCTGGCAGTACGTGTACACTGGGAACTTTTCAGTTGGCTGCACCCTGGCTGCAAGCAATCTTGTCACTGCTTGCAACTTGGCAATGCCATCTTCGGAGGTATCACAAATGCCGTATTCATCTCGAACAAGGTTACTAGTAACCTCTAGTGCCGATAAGTGACGGCCAGTTGAGCATACATGAAGTCTGTTCCAACCCCTTTCTTGTTCTCTGGAAAGCTGGGGATCCATGAGACCAAGGATCCTGTGTTGAGGATTGAGGACGTCTTCACGCCATTGTCTTCTTCAATACTGGCGACGTCATCAAACGGATGGCTCTGCGTCAATCAGTTGCGGGCTGCGGGTTTAGCTGAAACCACTTGCACATCATACATAATGCACAGTCACTGGGATGTTCCGAATAGAGTCCAGCGCTTTTAATTTTTAATTTAAAAGCCGTTTTGAGTTGCCAAAAAGAGAAAAGAATCAAGAATCAATACACGTGAAGATGCAAAGCGAGATCATTAGGATTCTTTGGATCGCTGAGGACCCCTCGCAGTTGAGGAACAGTGTCGAAAGAGTCCAATGCAACCGAATCTCCAAACGTACTTCTTCTGGGCCTTCTGGTGACCAAATTAGTTAAAGTACCTCATTTCGCTCTCATTCCAGAATATTCTTCTACTAGTAGTAGAGCTGGAGAAGTGGCGAAGTGCACATGGGCTGCACATCTGCACATGTGTATTAGGGATTTTAGGGGCAAACATGAGACTCTAGAACAGACAGTTGCATCATCAGCTGCCGTCTGCCATCCGCCATCGATCGTTGCCTTTCTTTCTTCTTCTCTTTGATCTTATTACAGTATCTATCAGAGTGGCTAACTGGTGGCTAGCCAGTGGCAACCCAAAAGAGGACAAAAGGCAACTTTTTCCATTCCACTCCCCCCATAGTTTCAGCATCCAATCTGAAGGAGGGCACATCAGTGTTACGACTGCATTGAAAGGCTTCGCCGTAGCGTGTGGCATTCGCGGGCTCGAATCTCCGAGAGACAACCAAACTCGTGAGCTTCGTACTCGTGCTACTATTAACTGCAGCTTCTGTACTGAACGAGTCCCACAGGTCATGAACATCGACGCTGAGATACCTGAACTAGAAGCGGGTGTTGTCGGCCATGCTGGCAATGACGCTGGAGCCAATGAAGAGGGCGATGATGACATGGAAGAGGTAACCCAAGATGCTCTGAACACAAGGATCCTTAGTTACAATGACCCTCGTCGAATGCAGCTTTCAAGAGAAGAAAGAGACTGGGCTCTGGACATCAAGGATGTGATTGAAGCTGATCCAGAAATCTGCAATCTTTCTGACTTTATGTATGCCCAGCTGGCCATCATTCACCAAGATGACATTCCCACTGCTGTGGACATTGCCAGTAAGCTGCAGTACAGTAGAGAAGAATATGATATTCGGGATACGTTGGAGGATGGCATTGTCAAACTTCGGAAGTTGCTGCGCTTGAATCCTGCCACTAACATTTCATTCAATTTCAGTCATGAAGAAGGCTGCTATGTCCATGTCTTGGATTTGGCCACCATTGACATAGATTCCATGAAGGACCAGGAAAATTGCAGAACATCCCTTGCTGGTGCCTTCTATATGAACCAATGCCTCAATCCTGACCTAGAATCGGTCCGCAGAGGTATGATCATAATGCTGGAATGTGAAGGATACCAGTGGGTTCCCAAATCCTGGGACATGAAGTATTCGGAGCAATATTGGAATGATGTGGGTGGCATCTATCCCTGTCGAGTTCGGCAGTACAGGTGTTTCAACACACCCATGGTATTCAATGTGCTCAAATCTTTGGGGCGCCCTTTTGTCCCAGCAGAGATCTATTCCCGGATGGTTCTTGGATGTCGCTTTGAGCAGAGGCTTGATGCGGTGTTTGCGGTGCCTACTGTTGAAGCCACAGAGCAACGCTTCCTCGGGAGGAGTATTGATGCCCTTACCATGAGGTATGCAAATGAAAGGACATTTTCATTGGACGCAGTGTGAGCATGCAGCAAGCACAGTAGTGAGCCAATCTCTCGTTGTTCATGAACCGAGGGATTGCTGCATACCGGTAGTGTTGATTTGCTTTGTGGGTTGGGTCATCTATGTCTCCATGGATCCTGCAAATTCAAGCCATTGGCCCTTGTGTTGGTCCCCAGTTTATGGCCCCTGCTCCCACGGGAAGTAGTCTCTTTGCCTAAGCCTGGCCCTCTGCTGGCTTCCATTGATAACTTCCCTGCTCTAGCTAGACCCCCTTCACAACAACATCTTCTTGGTACGGTAGCTTGTTCCTGGCCAGCTGGCTTGTGGCCGAGGTGCCGGTTCTGCAATGTCGAGGTGCGGAGGTGCAATATCCACCATTGACAAACCAAGGTAGGTCGAAACCACGTCATGGTGTCTTCTTCCTTGTCAGGAGGAAAGTCTTTCAATGGAGGGAACCTCTACGCGAAAAGGAGATGAATGCTTCGTTTTCTCGCAAGCGCTGTGGCCAAGTGCAGAGCTTCACAAGCAGTCAATACACCATGACGAGATGACTTTCGCCGCTCCGCAGGGTACCAACCACTTACTCGAGACGAAAAGCGGAACCCAAGTCTGCTCTTTCTGCTTGGGAACGTCCCACAGTGTTTCCAAGATGGAAATCTTCCATCGGCGGGAGCTTGGGTAGGCATGCACGGCAACGAAAACTTGGTAGAAAGCCGAACCATCGAAGCACACGCTTGGTTGAACCTGTACGATGAAGCGCACGAAATGATGATGGCATCCTTTGTGTCGTATCACATTACCTTTTTGCTACGAGAAAATAGGGTGGGTCGACTGAAGCACTCCAATTGCGTCTTGGAGAAAATGCACGCTTGTACCGGCGCCGACGGTGACATGACGACGGAATTGCGACCCCGCGACTTTGGGAGATTGTGCGAGAAAACTACGACTATATCGCCGCCAACTACCCCTTTGGTAGTCCCGACTTTGGCTGGTACCAAGTTCTGCAACGCTACGAGCGCTCGCTCATGATACCTGCCACGATGATGACAGCAATTGCCTTGATGAAATTTGACGACAAGCAAGAAAACACGCGATTGGACTATGGGATTGGTGTCAATAAACATCTCAAACGCATTACCGTCATTGTCCGAGGAACCGAACAAACACGTGATTGCGCGCAACTTTCAATGCGGATTGCTCCAAGTGCCACTGCCGACCCCAACGGGTATCCATTCTGATGTGCCCTAATTGAGAATTTCGAGACAACCAGTACCACCTACTTGGCTACCGGTACGGTAGCTCCCCAGGAGCATCCATCTGCAGGAGCCCACTCCAGAGTTTGAAATGACCACGACTGAACTGCCTCACAAGTATGTGGTGCTGATGAGAGCCAGGCCTTTGCCCTGGCCCACTGAATGATAATCGATCTGGTACTATCTCTACAAGAGGTTCTCTTCCCTGCGCTCAATTGGCTTGCCCTTTCCTACCAGAACCAGCCGATACCGGTACAAGCAACCAACCTTGCATTGCCCAGTTGTTCTGAAAGAATTTGTCAAGGGTCTACCACAAATTAGCCCAAAAAGTGGCCAAGAAAACTGCCATTTTCCCATCTCCCTGTCTGAGTAGTGTTTTGACCTCGGCAGGTAAACTGCCTGAGTTCTCAACCCCTTTAATGCTATTTCCTATTACGTCTCCTCGAGACGACGCTCCTTTTAGATTCCCCCTCAGTTGCACTCCGAAACCGATTCGCTCGCGTTTACTGTGTAAAATAGTGTACCCGCACTTCAGTTGCAGAATCAACGGTCATGTGTATCCGTAAGTACCAAACCTGTATTTAACGGGTTTTAACGTCTGTACAGGTGTGTGCGTGCACATACGGTAACGCGACCGTAACCGCTACCGGTACCGGTACCGTCACCGAAACCGTTAACGTACCAGTAACTGTCATCGAAACGGAACGAGGAATACGTCAACTTCTGTACATTCAAGTTCAAAACCCGATGAACAATGTTGGAACAGAAAAGAGAGAAGATAACCAGCCTACGCACGCGAATTCTGTAAACTGATTTGCTCTGAATTCACTTCACGAACGATAGTTATTACATCCTTATCAGGCGTAGCCGATACGTTACTTCACGGTGAGACAACAAACAGCGCTATCGGGATAAAACGGAGAACAGTCGAGGATGTTGACTTCTTACAAGGATGGGACGGATCAAGATTGGTGATCATTGACGAAGTTTCATTGGCGTGCGAAGGCCATATCACCAAGATTTACAAGAACCTACAAGACATCAAGGGAAACACATTAAAGCCATTCGGAGGACTTAACATGGTTTTCAGCCAGGGAGACTACTCACAGTTTAACGCCGAACCTTATGTACAAGAGATCACCATTATAAACGAGAATGTTCGCTGCTTATTCAAGGTACTCTAATAGCGTATGTATGATCGAGTTGGATGGAATGCATCGATTGCGAAATGATATTCCTTGGGTCGAAAGACTTAAACGTTTTCGAGCGGTGAAGCCAACCAAGGATGACATACTGTACATCAACCATCACTGTTTCGTGTCAAAGAACCATAAACCGAACTCAAACATTCAAGTTGCATGCCACTATAATTGGGAGCGAGGCGTGGTCAACACTACAGTTTTCAAGCAATTCTGTGTCGCAAATGCTCCTGCGGATGCTGACAATGTTTACATGGTGGCTATTATGATTTTGATGGACAGCATGGGAATGTACAATGATCACAAGCAGTACGTTCCAGTAACAAGCAACCGCATCAAGAAACACTTCTGGACAACATGTGGCGAATAGGATTGTGACATGGACAACGGCCGTGTTGATCCGGCATTGAAGATGTACTACAACCGCCCTCTGATGCTGACAAAGAATGAAGAAGTACCGAATGGACAGGCAAACGGTTCGAGAGTGTTCCTACGCAAGGTACATGTAAAGCCCGGATAACAGCCTTTCATCATCAAACTCCATTGCGGTGTCAGAAACCGTGTCTTCCGGCTGACCTCAAATGACAGAATCCAGTAAAACACGAGATTAAAGACATGTTGCCAAGATATTTCGATGTCAAGACACACGGAGTGTCCTTCAAGTGCAAGATGAAAATCTAAAAGGAAAAGATTGAGGTTCGCATGAAAGGAATCCAGTTTCCTCTTGTTAGCAATCCAGCGACCACAGGACACAGGATATTGCAGCGCGACATGAACCACAGCATCGAACAACTGTGGTGTGACTAGACAACTATGCAGATAATTGGGTTTACGTGGTACTTTCAAGAGTAAGAGAAATGAAAGGCCTCTTCTTGCGAAAACCACTGTCGCTCGATTTAACAAAGTACCAGATGCCAGACAGAAATGGTGCATATGCTGGAAACTTTCAGTCGCATACATTACCCTTCGATACTCTTTCCGCCGACAATTACGATGAAATGTTACAGTCCGAATCAGCATTCAATTAACCAATTCCAATATAACTTATTCAAATTCGTACTCTGACG